GTTCTCACATTCCATGTCCCAATCACCAGTGTCTGCTTACAACTGTTCCTCTTCCTTTGTATTTCCATACTTGAAAACTCAACCTCCTCTGCCGTTTCTGTTAGCCACCATTAAATACAAAATTTCATACTTAAAATAAATTTTTGACTCAATCTTCAAAATCTGAAAGGCACTAATATTTTTTAATAAGTTATCTTTTTAAAAAAATATTTTATTTTTGTTGTTGTCATAATTAGCTTAATATTAGAGATGTCTTACCCTAGGCAACCAGAAATGTCTTCCCAGTCTATTTCACTAGAATCTTCTACATTTATGTCATACAACCTAAAAGAAAAATTAAAAATTTCATTTACAAGGAAAATATAATTCAACATGATAGACATTTCCAAGGATTCGCAGAACAGTAAGAGGTGGAAGGGATCAGTACTTTTGTCCTCAATGAAGGTCCCTCACCATATGGGCCCAGTGAAGGCAGCACCAAAGCAGCCTGGAAAGTCAGCTCTCCTCCTTCAGAGTCCTTTCTGCTACACAGACACAACTTCACTACTGTGTAGACACAGTAATAGCATAACTGTATTCAGCACTTACTAGGTGTCACTAGTAACCTCTTTAGATTCTCTAAATGATTACTTACTTAGCTCAACATTACATGACAAGGGGAAGGGGAAGGGAGGAAAATGTGTAACAAAGAATGCATGAAAACCCAATCTTTCTGTAAACTACCATTAAAATCACCATTAGGGAGGGAAGAGGGAAGACTAAATGACCAATACAGGTGCCAGCAATGGAATCTGTTTAATGTGAGATGTCTTTGTGGACCTACTGCTCTATAGCAGGTGGATCTCTAGCAGGTGAAGGAAAAAAACCAGTGGCGGTTTAAGCAGCCAGCTCAGTGAAGACTCAGTAAGTGCACAATGACCTTAAACCACAGCGCAGGACAGAGAATAGGGGACATTAAGATGGAGAAGGTCCTTCTGCATCGTTGTTTCTCATTCAGCATGAACCCAGCATCAGCCTAGGCCTCTGAGACTAGTAACTTTTATGAAATATTTATTAAGTACTTAATAATTCTTCAAACACTTCACAGAATACTGTTTGGACCAGGAATGTAAAGACAAAGAGCAAAGCCAAACAACAGTGACAACAGCAAAGGTGTACTCGAGAACAGCAACGCTTTGCTTGAATTACACACTTGAATTTTCCAATGGATGGAAATAGGCTAGCCATAGGAAACACTGCAAGGACTAAAACAATTACACTGATTGTTTATATACAACATTTCACTTCATCTACGACAACAGAGGTAGGCATTATTATATCATCAGTATCGTGGGTAAGCTGCAGCTTCAGTGGTAACACACCCAAGGTCATGTAAGTGCAAAGTGTAGCACAAGAATCTGACCTTTAGTAACTTAACTACCCTCTAGTTGGAAAGAAAAGCAGTTAAACACATCATAACTTACTATTTTCATACCTTTCAATAAGGTTGATTTTGGCCTGTAAGGAATTGATTCCTCGGTAAAGGTCCCGACCATTATTCATCCTTTTGGTTAAAACTTCTGTCCTATATTAGAAAAGAAAATAGAATTCACTTCCAGGGCTAAAATTTCCATTAAAACCGATCATATTTTCATCTAGCTCACTTTCATGCAGAGCTAACTGCTAACTTTTGCAACCCGTTATTGTTAAAATGTAGCACCAGTGAAAATGTATCTAGCCCCCTGCCCAGGGCGAGCCGTTGCGGCCCTCTGCCCGGGGCGAGCTGTCGTGGCCTTCTGCCCGGGGCGGGCTGCGCTTGGCCCCCGGCTCGGGGCGAACCCCCGTGGCCCTCAGGAGCAAGAAGGCAAGCAGCTGTAACCCAAGACCACCAGTAAGGTGATAAAGC